TAAATGAATTTGTATTCAAGCAGATTGATAAAGATACTCTGAATAACAAGTGCCTTGTGTTTTATTAAATAGCAGGATTACCGATAGCTGTTATGTACTGCCTTTGGCGGCCTGTGGTTTTTACGCATTTTATAAAGACCAAGATCAAAGAACTTGATACAGGGCTTAGACTTCGACCATTTCCAGCATCTCACGTCATCAAAGTAAAACAGCAAATCTATACATGAAAAAGCCTATGATCTGTTACGAGTAACACAATCGTTATGTCTCAATGGGAAGAGGCCAAAGGTTTTGAATTGCTATTTTGATATTGCATCTTAATCTAACAAACTGAAATGCTAACATGAAACAAACAGAAACGTAGTTAGTAGAAAAGCTGCCCCATGGCCCATTCTCAGTTTTTGGATTAAACACGGTTCAGTCCCAATTGAATGCCATAGGCACAAAAAAGCAGTGGAGGTTGCGGGGATGCGTTTGCCGGCTCAGTGGACCTCATTAGTGTCGAACACTTGAGTATGTGCTTGTGTGGAGCGACCATTAGAGCGCTGTCAGAACAGAGAGCGTACAAGAGCGTTTTTTTTCTCACTCTATTATCTGCAAGCACAGCACACCGTGCACGAAGCAATAAGTTGACGCCATACAGGAAGAACATGTCGATGTGTATATGCAGGGATTTTATGGAAGGTACTCTGCCATCTTTCTGAATAACAAAAGCTTGTGTATCTTCCACGAAGCAGCCCAGGGGAGACAAATCGCCCTGTAAGCCTGTGTACAACCAACTCTAAGTACTCCAAACCCAGCATGAAGGTTGCCTTGTCACCAGGCCGAGCATGAGCATCACAGTGTATGAAAAGAAAACCACTGAACAACCAATTCTGTGACAGGATTATTAGCTTTTGTATTCAAAGTGTCCTTGAGGGGTTTTTGTCCGTGTTGTTGGATCCGATAGGATAAAACACTTGCTGTTCTGAGCTTTCACCTCATTCTTTATATGCTATTGGTTTTGAAAGGCAGCAGACTTGCGGTTTGAGGACAGTGAGCTTTGAGAGACATTCTTCAGTTTGTCTGTCTACTTTTGATTGTTAATTTTTGACTTACAGAGGTACAGTGGGGAAAAAAAGTATTTAGTCAGCCACCAATTGTGCAAGTTCTCCCACTTAAAAAGATGAGAGAGGCCTGTAATTTTCATCATAGGTATACCTCAACTATGAGAGACAAAATGAGATATGACAGCGGAAGTTTGTTCTCATCACACTCTTAAAAATAAAGGTGCTTCACGATGCCATTGAAGAACCTTTTTGTCTAAATGGTTCCATAAAGAACCTTCAACATCTGAAGAACCTTTCTGTTTCACAAAAGGTTCTTTGGGGCGAAAAAATGTTCTTCAGATTATAAAAAGGTAAGAAAGAGTTGGTTCTTTAAAGAACCTTTGACTGAATGGTTCTTTGTGGAACTAAAAATGGTTCTTCTATAGCATTGCTTGAAGAACCTTTTGAAGCACCTTTATTTTTAAGAGTGCAGTACAGAAAGTCAAATTTACAAAACGTATGTCCTCGTAAGGCTGAATACATCTGAAATTCACTTGTAACTGCTAGTAAATTTCACAATTAATTACAAACAAATGGCAAGGAGCATGTCATATTGTACATCAAATTTTAAAGTAGAAATACTAAAATAGTATATTAATTTGTATTTTTTTAATTATTATTTTACAGTGTAAGCTGTGAGCCAGCTAAATTATTCCAGTTCAGTTATACACTGCTACATTTTCCCACAATAGGCAGGTATATTTGACAAATGTGTAGGCTAACTCTTAATCATTCCTCAGTAATTCACTAACGTGCCTTTCTGGAGCTAATAACATCCAAAATCTAATTTATGCTGCTTTAATAACTAATATTGGAATAAAACAAAAGGCAGGCAGGAATTTACTAATTACATTCACCAGAGGCCTTTTAGATGGCACACATACAAAATTGGTAATTAAGGAATATTAACAACAATATTGACATGAAAAAGAGTTTTAAAAACCTTCACTGCCTTTGGCTGGTTAACTTTTGTAGCTTTAATAAGCTATTTAAAAACAAATATCAACATTAAGTTCAACAAGGCTGCATTTATGTGGAACGGAAATATTGAGAAATATTAATACAATTTAAAATAGCTTGTTTGCTCTTTTAATATATTTTAAAATGCATTTTTCCTGTGATGACCAAGCTGAAGTTACAGCATCGTTACTCCAGTCTTCAGTGTCATATGATCCTTTAGAATCATTCTAATATGCTGACTTGATGATTCTAATATGCTCAAGAAATGAAAACAGTTTTTGCTGTTTAATACTTTTGTGGTGACTGTGATACTGTCACGGCTGTGCCGGAGGGAATAAGCTGAAGCGTTACACAGTCTTTTAATGAGCAATCACAGAGGTAAATCCACAACAGGATCGAGGAATGACACAAGAACATAACCAGTAGACCCGACAAACACTAACTGAACGGACTGGGGCATATAAACACAGGATAACGAGGGACTAATCGAGGGGACTAAGGAGACACACCTGGAATCAAATGAACACAATCAACAAGAAGGAGAAACTGGGTCAAGGGGAGCAAAACGCTAGCTGTGTCTCATTTAGAAGGCTGCACCCTCCGGAGGTCGAATCCTCTGGAGGTCGCATCCTCTGTAGTATGCATATATGAAGTGTCCTCAACCTAGAATTAAACGAGACGGCCTTCGTAGGACAGGCGGAGAAGGAAACAGGAAGTATCACGTTGCTATGCCAACACATTTAGAGCATCGTTGCGCTCTCACACTACTTAAATGAAGGAAAATTATTTCTAAATTTGGAAAGTAATTTGAAAAATTTTTTATTTTGTTCAATGTTTGAGGAGCTGCAGCATACATACAGCAGACATCTATTAGAGAAAAAAAGGAGGAGGATATTAAAAACAAAGTTTATCCGTTTTTACCGAGGCGAATTAAGGTAAGTTGTAAACACCACATCTGCGCTTGTGTGTACGTTACATCTGCCGGCGCCGGCATTTTTCAAATTAACAACGGTTGTTCACGGCGACGCAAAGAATTGTGGGTTATCTGTAGCAGCGAAGGATACACCTCATGCATCCTCCGAATTCCTGTGAAAGAAGGTCGCATTCGAAGGTCGCATTCGGAGTGTCCTACTTGCTTTTCTGAAATGAGACAGCCTCGATGACGTATGCAGCCTTCGAATGCGACCTCCGGAGGGTGCAGCCTTCTAAATGAGACACAGCTACTGTGTGTGTCCATGGGCGTGACAGATACATTTTATTCAGGATTTTTTGTTGAAAGGTCTTTAATGTCACTTTTGATCAATTTGATGTATGCTTGCTGAATAAAAGTGTTAATTTATAAAAAAAAAAATTACTAATCCCAAGCTAGCACTGCCCATTTGTGATAAAATGACATGAAATTAATGTTAATAGCAGATGGAAACAGGATAAAATGATTATTTGTCAATAGTCCAAATTGTGCTCTTCACACCCATTGGCTCCAAAATATGATTTGAATGCTAATGTATGTTGTGCTTGGAAAGCGACAGCTGATTTCGAGCATATGTTTCATTATGGATCAGTTTTGCTTTTGGGTTTATCTGAGGTAAAGATTTGCTCACTCCCACGCTCGCTTTCCATTTAGCAACTGTGTAGGATGCCCAATTAACACTGTGATTCGGTTAACCTCTTGATTGAATAAATTCCTGTGAATATTTTGTCTTTGTAATTATAAACCAGAATCGTTTACATTAATTGAGTTTGTTTTATAAAATCAAACAGGTAAGTTGTCCTCCTGGTTTCAGAATGTGATATAATCATGCTGCCTTTCCATTGATTCTCTGTCAGACCTATATGTGTACATTTTATTCGGTTTGATAGTGCTGAATAGCCCACTGTGCATTTATATCAGCGTTTAGATTGTAATCTAATTCATTTATATGCAGTTTTGCAGTTCCAGCAGTTTTTGTAATGCACGGTTTTGAATGCCCATTTCCCAGCCTCTCTTACCCTCAGGCTTTTCTACTGTATCTTTAAACATTGCCTGTAGCTCAAATAGTAAAGCGTTAGCAATGCCAAGTTCATGGTTTTGATTCCCAGGAAATGCTAAAAAAAGAAAAGAAAAAAAGATGCATATACAGAAATTACAGAGTTTAAACAGCAGTTTGAATGTACTCATACAAAAAAAAAAAAGATTCACACAATTTACTAATATACTTTGTATTTATACCAAGGAGCAAAAGTGTAGCGTTTAGATTGTCAATCAATTCGTGTATATGCAGTTTTGCAGTTCCAGCAGTTCTTGTAATGCAAGCCACAGTTTTGAATGGCCATTTTCCAGTCTCTCTTACCTTAGGATTTTCAACTGTACCATTTTTTAATTCACACAATTCACTAATACAATTTGAATAGATACAAGTTTGGGGTCAGTAAGATTTTTTAATGTTTCTTATGCTCACCAAGGCTGCATTTATTTGATTAAAAAAGTACAGTAAAAACAGTAATATTGTGAAATATTAATGCAATTTAAAATACCTGTTTTCTGTTTTTAATATATTTTAAAACATTATGCATGTAATGGCAAAGCTGGATTTTCAGCAGTTATTATTCCAGTCTTCAGAGTCCTTCAGAAATCAATTTAATATGCTGATTTTCTGGTCAAGAAACATTTCTTATTATTATCAGTGTTAAAAAAACAGTTGTTCTGCTTAGTATATTTGTGAATGATTTGAAATAGAAATCTTTTGTAGCATTGTAAAAGTCCTTACTGTCACTTTTGATCAGTAAAATGGAACTGTACTGAATATTATATTTTCGTTTTTGGCAAATTTTACTTTTGCTCCATTTTACTTGTACATGCCCAGTAAAGTTCTAACGCAGTGATGCATATTTGCAGTGTGACCCAGCAGAACCACCGTTTTATTGTGTGTGATTTGTGATTCATCATTAATGCAGTGCACTGTGTATGTGCAGGTTCTCTCCGGTCAGCGAAAATGCCCCCGTGGGAATGGTCACAGGAGTCATCTTGGCGGCTGCCATAAACCAGACCATCGTCTACTCCATCATCGAAGGAAATGAAGGCGGTGAGCACTAACCAGATTTGCATAATTTATTTAGTGAATAAGGTGCTAAAACCATGCAGAAGGTGCATGCAATTAAACGTCACTGGCAGTTCTCATGCATACAGTACAAGCGTATACTTCAACCAGACTATGGTTTATTCTCTCCTCAGAAACCTCAGTGAAAAAAAGACAAGATTGCGGGAAATGTCACACTGGTCTTTTATGAGCTGGAAATTATTGTATTGTAATAAATTATAGTTTGTAAGACATCAAGCACTGGATAATGACAGCCCGCAGACTCCTAGATGGTGTTTTTTAGGAGGGTGTCAGCTGCAAGTTATCAAAAGCTCAGTGAAAGAGAAGGTTTTGTTTGACGGAGTGCACTTCCTGTTGCCGTGTGTCATCAGAGAGCAAGCGAGAGCAGGAAGAGGGAGGTGTGCGTGATTAAATCCTCTCTGTTCAAAATGTGTTCAGCTGAAATCACATTTGAATACATCTGGCGCTGGTTTAAAGTGATGGGGAAATCGTTTCGGTACATTCTCATTAGACAGAATCAAGAAGCGTAGATAGGTAATCAAAGGGCTGTTTTCATTAGCGCAAACTAGAAAAAGCCAGGAAGAATAAGGTAATCATTCCACCCTTCAAACCGCCAAGATCCAAGGCGTTTAATGTGATGGCATCACCCTAGATCAGAGCTAATCCTTTATGAATGTTAATGAGACTCAAGAGGTGGGTAGTGCACTCCGGACCTGAAATCCCAATATAGATAAATGCATTAACAATACGCTACATGGAAGCGGGGAAAGGGTGAGTTGGAAGACCTGGACTTAGCCGGGCCAAGAATTACTGATTGAGTAATGTCATATTATAAAGGTATAATTGACAATATAGTGTTTTGTAGTTTTTTTTTTCCTGTAAATGCAATGGGAAAAATTGTTTATATAGTGAAGAACCATGGTAATCCCTATTTTGGATAATCCAGTGAATAAAATCCAGTGAAGGCTTTAAAAATGATGGCTACTTCATCTCATCCCTTGTGAAAAAGTAATGTAGTAGTAAAAAAGTAATGCGCTTAACTGTATTGCATGTGTACTTCTTAGAATATTTTTTAAAAACTGTATTTGCAGGTAATAAAATATTAATTAAATAAAAGGCCACTTAAGTGTACTTAAAGTACACTTCAATGACTATAGCCTTGTCCAAATCGGTAGTGCACTCCGGACCTGAAATCCCAATATAGATAAATGCATTAACAATACGCTACATGGAAGCGGGGAAAGGGTGAGTTGTAAGACCTGGACTTAGCCGGGCCAAGAATTACTGATTGAGTAATGTCATATTATAAAGGTATAATTGACAATATAGTGTTTTGTAGTTTTTTTTTTCCTGTAAATGCAATGGGAAAAATTGTTTATATAGTGAAGAACCATGGTAATCCCTATTTTGGATAATCCAGTGAATAAAATCCAGTGAAGGCTTTAAAAATGATGGCTACTTCATCTCATCCCTTGTGAAAAAGTAATGTAGTAGTAAAAAAGTAATGCGCTTAACTGTATTGCATGTGTACTTCTTAGAATATTTTTTAAAAACTGTATTTGCAGGTAATAAAATATTAATTAAATAAAAGGCCACTTAAGTGTACTTAAAGTACACTTCAATGACTATAGCCTTGTCCAAATACCCACACTTGCGGTCTTTGCACTTGACCACTTGACTACTTATATGACGTATTTCCTGTATTTGGCCCAAGTGTTCAAGTGAGGATGAAGACCACAAGTGGGTGTCGAACTTTCCATTACCTGATGGGACACACTTGTAGTGTTGTAAAAATGCAAGTGTTTGCATAGTTTTATTTTAATTTTAATTTAAAGTACTTTGCATTTAAAATAAACTTCTAAATGTCTGTTCAGTAGTCCCTATAACATGACAATTTTAATTTGTGGTGATTCTAATTAAGTGATAAAAAGCAGTTGCAAAAATTTTACAAAATAAATATCACTACTCTTTGCACCAATAAAACGTAAAAACACTGTTTTTCTACCAAATTATATGTAATATCTAGTTATTATATTAATATTGAACTTGCATTGGAAAGGTTTCCGTGACCTCTCGCGAGATCTCGGCAAAAAGTCTCACGATTTATTTCCAGAACATGATGCATGATGGGATACACTAAGCCTCGAATAGCGCTCCAGAGCGGTATTCGAGATAGTGTGGGTTTAGTGTGCTTTAAGGGCACTGAGCTTTGCCGTTTTTAAGACCTGGGACAGTCTTGCGCACACTCTCTCAAGTGGCCAAGACTGCAAGTGTGGGTATTTGGACAAGGGGAATATGTTTCTTAACACACTTAAGTATACTTTTAAAAAAGTGCATTTTGTAATAATGTCAAAATAAAAGCTTAAATAAAAAATACACGTTTTTTTTGTGTTGACTATCGCGCTAAAGCACATGTAAAGTACTTTTAACTGTAGTGTTTGTTATTACATTTAGTTAATACAAATGAAAAACAAAAGCAAATTAATATGTTTTAAATGTACAAAATTGTGACTTCATCATTACAAATGTGTAATTTGTAAAATACAAAAGTATATTTTAGTTTATTATAAATGCTTGCCAGTACATTCAGCAGTACACTTTTACCATGTTTCAAAAGCAATAGAATTATGAAATTACATTTAGAGATGTACTTAAGTCCTACTAAAGTGGGTCTAAAAATCACTCTTAAGTTCAACTAATTGCATTTAAGACAAATGTAAACTCTAATACATGTTTAAATTAATTGTAAATAACATACAATTCAGCATCCAAAAACATTCAATTCAATTTACACTCAAGTATGTTATTTTAAGTATATTATTTCTGTAATATGTACTCTTTTTTTAAAAGTATGCTAACGTGTACTTTTTTCCACAAGGGATTTGATTATTATTATTTATGTATTTATTAAATTTTTTGGAAATTTACAGACACATAAGTCTGACACTATATAATACATATCTAAGATCACAATGCATAATTCCCGACTGTGTGTTTCTGAGTGTGAAGCAGTTGTAAAATAGCAATTAAACACACCCGCTGTCTTTCTACTGTTGCGACAGGTGAATTCATTGTGAACAACATCACTGGAGTTATCAGCACTGCCAAGCCGCTGGACTACGAGAGCAACAGCAGTTACGTCATCCGCGTGGAAGCAGACTCCATGAGGGTGGCGTCGTCCAACCTACGAGCCCCATCCAAAAGTGAGGCTTCCTTTAATGCCCATTCACATCATGGACGATATCTATAAAGTTTCAATAATTGTCTGATTCTTAGAGAAGTAAACGCTATAACGTTAGTTGTTCTCCCGAGCAGAGAAGCAATATCAATGGAATCACGTTCAGAACTTTTTTTTTTTTTCAGCAGATGAATGATTAATTATTGACAGAGTAAAAGAGTAAAGAGTACAAGCATTTAAAGTGTTTTTTTTGCATTTAAAGCATAAACAGAACTTTATCATCTGTTGGTGCGGACGCTAATATAGTTATAGTTATCTTCACATTTATCGTTCTTGGTGTGAACTGGCCTTTACCCCTTTTTTTTACCCTTTTTACGGATTTAAAGATTTTACGGATTCTAGACTTGGTTTCTGAACACATCAGTCAAATTATCCAAAATAAAGAGCATTCTGTATGGGTCTGCTTTTGAATCTCAGAGAGTTTTTGCTTTTTCATTTTATTTTGGAGTGAATAAAACACCTCCTTTCCAGCATGCCAGAGCAGAGCATCTCAATGTAATAAAAATATAATCATAAATGACTTCCTGTCATCTTGTGTTCCGTTGGCATGGGGGGCTGGGCGGCTGCTTGTCCATCTTTTCCATGTGGAGTTGATTATGGAAAATCATTATTTGAGAAAAGCATTCATGATTAACCAGATTAGACAGCTATGGATATTGATTTCTTTTTTTCTCATTTAATGTTCTAAGTACGCAAACCTGGTGATAAAATCCAAAAGATTAGTCGCGTCCAGTCAGTCTGTCAGTTTAGTGGTTTTAATTGATTGTTTAATGATGAGTTTTAATTAATTATATCTTGTTTTAAATAAGACCTCATGGTTCTCATGAATATCCAGATGGAGTAATCAGGGCTGCTGCTGGCCAAATGGGTGCCCTAAGCAGGATTTTATTATTTATACTATAGAGGTCAAAATAGAACTTTAATAAAATATAAAAGTAAATAAATAAACTGTATTATTTACAAATTACAATTGTAGCTCAGACAGTTACCTATGGCTATGACTTTATTAATACAGTTTTCTGATTGATTTTATAATCTCAAGTATTCCGAAATCACACAAAAGACAATTAAGCAGTTTTACTATGATAAAACCATGGTTCATTTTTGTAAGGGTTGTGATGGCCACATGTTTTTTGTTGAAGGAATTATAGAGGCTGTGTCATCTATAGCAAAAAGGTGTCCAAAAATGAAAGATTAAGTGGATATTTGAATTAAATGTTCTGTCAACAGCCTATTAAACAAGGATTTGATTGTCTGAAGTGTAGCAGCAGCAATTACACGGCCTTTGGCTAGCTTTGCAGGCATTTCTGATAACATGTAATCTACATAAATTGTTTATTTTGTATTAGCCTACATTATGTATTTTAACAGTGTTATTCGATGAAACCATATAATTATTAATTCACCAATCATTATTGCCTCATTGTTTTTTTATATAATGCATTTTAAGTCATTTTAAAAGCTATTGTTGGCTTAGGTTTTATAACCACAAAAAATGATGATCTTAATACTTCTTTGTAAATTATTATTTGAAGTAACAAAACCACGGTTAATTTGCGGTTACCATGGCTACAACAACAATGATTGTTGTTTTTATTCGTGTTAAAACCATGGCTAATTTTCGTAAGAGAACATGGAAACTCAGAGAGAATATTAGATGCGTTGGTGGTGGTGAAATGATTAACGACATTAAAACCAGTGCTTGAAGTGGGCCGGTACGCAGTATTCTATATTTTAGCCTTTAGAGTACCTGCACTTTTTTGTGCATACCGGCACTTCTGACATGTTGACAGAATATACTCAGAGTAAAAGCGTCAGGGTCTGGGTGATTATATGATCCCATATATGATTAGAAAGGACACTATATCATTATATATAGATCAGTGCGGTGGTCAGAGATTTAGCGATTCTGAATGGATTCGTATAGTAGTAAAGGCAGGCAATTTAGTGGTCTTTGGCGTCTCCCTGTGGTCCTGTTTGGTATCGCAGCTTGACTTGTGCTAATTTGTATTGAAAACTTTTATTTAATTATTGATTGATTGATTGATTGATTGATTGGGTGATTATATGATCCCATATATGATTAGAAAGGACACTATATCATTATATATAGATCAGTGCGGTGGTCAAGAGATTTAGCGATTCTGAATGGATTCGTATAGTAGTAAAGGCAGGCAATTTAGTGGTCTTTGGCGTCTCCCTGTGGTCCTGTTTGGTATCGCAGCTTGACTTGTGCTAATTTGTATTGAAAACTTTTATTTAATTATTGATTGATTGATTGATTGATTGATTGTGGCACTATACATACATTGTGAATTATTAAAAACTACTTATTTATTTAATATAAATAAATAATTAAATAAGTAAATAAGGGGGGGTGAGTACCGACACTTCTTTTTTTCCACTTCAAGCACTGATTAAAACACGTTATTAACGTCAACAGCCAAAAAAGTTTCACAGGATTATGAACGTGCCTGAAAGTGATGCACAGGCTTCGTTTTTTTTTCTCTCGGCACCGGATTGCTGATGTCTTTTCACGAGCATAGTTGTCCATCAATTATGATCATTTGCATTCAGCCGCAAACTTGAGGAGCAAGTGGAATGGCGCGTCACGTTTTTTTTTTTTTTTTTTTTTTTTTTTTTTTTTGAGCAACTGGGATGGTGGCCCCCTGGGAGTTGGTGCCATACGCAATCTGGGAGTAATCATAAAAATATGAGGATTGTGAATTGATTTTAAATTATAATTAAATTAATTACTGCGAAAAGTCTCCAAATTAAGAGAATTTAAGAACATTACATTAGTGTGGCAGACAAAAGCATTACAAAAAGTCAATATATTGTTTAAAAGACTATGTTTTCAGGAGGTTACTTGCTGGTTTTATTCACTGTTGTTGGTTTTCATTTCATGCAGTGGTCAGCGATCCTCTTGTGTCGTGTTATTCTGCTCTGTGCTGAGATGCTTCAGCGCTCCACTCGGAGTGACTGTGCAGAAATGGGCAGAAGGTTCTGGAAACCCCTTGGCATGAGCGCTGAAGTCTGTCGGATGATAAATCGTATCGTTGCTTTCATACTGCTGCAAAATATGACTCTGCCTTTTACTTTGAGAGGTGACAGATGATGGTCTTGAAGGACTCGATGAAGAAATGCTGTGCTCCATAAAGAAATGTACTTCAGCAGCTTAGATGTGCAAAACTGAGTTTGTAGGGCAGAGTTGTGGTGATCACCTGAGTTTGATTGTAATTGCTTTGAGGCATTTTCCATGAGAGCAGTACACGTGTTTTTGGTTTTGAGAAGTAGCATAAATACTGGCTAGCTTTAAACACATAAATCATTTTAAAACATTTCATGCTAGTTTGAATTACTTCTGAAATGTAAAATCATACAAAAATATAATTTGTATCATTTTGACATCTGTTGAATTGATATTTACTTCATTGTAGTTAAATGCTATGTTTTATTTAAGATATTTAAAAAATTGTAATTACTGTTGTGTTGGCTGCATTGTCAAGTCGGCATGAAATGGAAAGTCTCCCTGTTTTCTAAATGCATATAATTGATCTTACTGTGAATTATTCATTTGTGCATATGAAAAATAAATAAGTAAATAAGCTCATAATTTTGTATCAAAATGTCATCTTCTAGTGAAACAATATCATTCTCCAATCATCTGCAAGTCTGCTTAAACTTTGCCCCTTTCTTACAATCAGCTGCAAGCTCATATTCAGATCTGCATCAATCCAATCAAGACCCCTGCTCTGCAGTTTTTTTAATTTTTTTTCATAATTTGTTTTAGTCGTATGTACGTCACAATACAGAAGAAAATATCTGTCACTACTTCTACTACATCAAGAATTTTATCATTCAACTTGTTGTTGAATGTTGTTGTAAGGAATTTTATTTTTTTTATTGGATTTTATTCCGTTTTTTTTAATCAAAATGTTATTTTGATGTTTACTAAATGTCTGGAAACATACAAAATCCCCCCCAAAAACTGTATTCATATTTTAGATGCAGGTTTAAAATTGATATAACGTTCTTGTGTGATTTTATTTTTTTTCACCTCACAGGCAACACAGCAAAGGTCTTCATTGATGTGCAAGATGAGAACGACCATCCTCCTGAGTTCACTAAGCCCTTTTACCTCGGTGGGGTTGCAGAGGATGCCAAGACCTTCACCTCTGTTTTACAGGTCCAGGTAAAGTGTCTTCTCCCGCAGAATTGTAACTCTATCCATGAGGCTTCAGACAGCACTCGCACAGATAAGCCAAGGACTGTTTACTAACTGATGCATATTTCATCCGAATGGCAGGAGCAGGCTAAATCGCTACCAGTAATATGATTGGCTAGTTTTCCTGGCCTGGAAAAGTCATAGATAATTAATCAAATCTTAAAAGTCATAGGCATGTCTTTGGTGAATATGGGTTTTTATCAAATTTCGGTGGTTTGCTATTGCTCTTGCTTAGAGAAAAATGTGTTCGCAGACCTTAATGATGTTAGAATTGTTCCTGTGGCTCAGTGGTAGAGCAATGCAAAAGGCTGTGGGTTCGATTCCCAGGGAACACACATACTGGTAAAAAATGTATCACCTGAATGCACTGTAAGTCGCTTTCTGCTAAATGCATAAATTATTATCAATTAATAAATTATAGAATTGTGAACAAATCATTCTTTTGAATCAAACCGATTCCAAAATTGGCCTGAATGATTCAGTAGTGAATTGGTCTGAATCAGAATGATTTTTAAATGACTGGAATGGAAAAACCATGGGAATTCATCATCGAAAAAGTGGAAATGTTACATTTTGCTGGAGTGTATTATGCTAGTTTTCTTCTGTGCTGGTGGTTGAAGTGTGTTGGTTCCGGTGTCCGAGTGAGGAGGTGTTGTTCTCTGGTTGGTCAGATTGCTGGTCTCGGCTGAGGAGTTTTAATTCTACTCAGCTGGGGTCTGAAAGATTGGATCATCTTGAGACAGCTTGTAAAATGTCATGGCTGTGGGGGCCTGCTGATACAGATCTCACCACAACTGTCAAAAACGTGGACAAGGGCACCACATTCCCTGGAAAAGAAAATGAATCAGAGATCCACATAAATCAGCCAGGCTTTCTCAGATAGCACGGACTGTGTCCTTATCCAGCCGCAGTTCCTCGTTCTTGCTCTCTATTTTTTTTCTTCAGTTTTCTTTGTCTTTACTAGTACTTTTCATTCTAACAATGACTTTGTCTTTCTGTCTTCTCTGATTAACCATGTCTCTTACTCAAATCTGTTTTCAAACATTTATTCTAGCCTGAACACGTATATGAAAGTACATAAACAGACACTTCTGGCATCTCACGCTCGATTTTAAACATTGTTGCATGCGTTTATCCATTTCTGTGTGATTTATAATACACAGACTATAGCAGACATTTGCAAAAAATGTCATCTGTCACGGCAGAGAAAAAGTTTCATGAGTTTCACATTTATGGCTAACAACCTCAATAATTACTGGTAATCCGATTTAATAGCAGAGATTTGAAGGTAATTCTATCACCCCCTTGAGTACAGAAGTGCTAGGGATGTCAAAGGTAGCAGTAAAATATAAAGTTGATGCTAAAATGTAAGTAATGTAATGCCAGTACAGCATCAGTAATACTGAGTACTGATGCTATAGCTCCGCCCCCTTGGTTACTGTTGCTAAATCAAACAAGCTTTGCAGAACATAAACTAGAGATTTCATTGATCAATCAGCGCATTTTTCAATAAAATTTGCATGGACTTATGTGAATTGTGACATTGCAAGGCACTTTTTTCTGCCATTGTTTTTTCCCTAGTTAAAACAGTGTAAGTGAACAGAACAATTCCTAATGTTTCTACAATAGACCTGTCACTGTCTATTATGTCATTAATATTAATCAAACGACACTATTGCTATCCAGCTTCTGGCTGGATAACTTTTTAATAGGTTTTTCATTGTAGAGCATACAAAAAGCTAGACTGAAAGGAAAAAAAAAACTTTCTTATTCATTTTAATTACAAACCCCCTTTGCCAATAATTTAAAGGGATAGTTCACCTTCAGTTGCTGGTCCCCATTGACTTCCATAGTATGGGGGGAAAACATTATGCAAGTCAATGGGGGCCAGCAACTGAAGGTATTTACAGTGGTGTGAAAAGTTCCTGTTTTTTTAATTGTTTGCATATTTGTCACACTTTAAAGGTTCAGATCATCAAACAAAATTGAATATTACACAAAGATAACCTGAGTAAATATAAACTGCAGTTTTGAAATTATGATTTCATTTATTGAGGGAAAAAAAGCTGTCCAAACCTGCCTGGCACTATGTGAAAACCCCGAAATCTAATAACTGGTTGTGCCACCCTTTGCAGCAACAACTGCAATCAAGCGTTTGCGATAATTGGCAATGAGCCTTTCACAGGAATTTTGGCCCACTCTTCTTTGCAGAATTGTTTTCTTCCATTGTTCTGTCCTGATCTGCTAATTAGTTTATGCAATTTATCAGCCTTCTAAGAAAACATTACTTTTCTGATGTTCCTTGAGCTTAATCTGAGGGAGAAATGCGAAGAAAGAAAAGAGAAAGAGATTTCAATTTCACAGTTTCGACTCAAGGTCTGCGCTGTTATGCATTCTGTCGACGCTCAGCCTCACTAAATGATCAGTTCAAAGATGGACCTTTTGTTTGCATGAGTTTTTGTTTGTTTGTTTTTTCACCATGGACCCCCTGGTATTCCCTTAGATATTGCCAAAAATGTAATTGTTTTCATTTAGCATATATTTTCCTCAAGTAATAAAAAAATCATTAATAGAATCATAAAGGAACCAGAATCATTAAGTGGCATTCGAATCAGGGCAACTGGGAAGGGGCAATTCTAGTGTTGCAAGAAGGATAGAAATTACACACTTCACCTTTAAATACACAATCCTGAGCCAGTTTGAATAGATTGGTTAAAGTTTAAAGCAGTAATCTGTCCTGAGATGCAGTCCATCATGTGATTTTACAGCAGAGGCAACTTTGTTAGCTTATTTTAATTAGAAAAATACAGTAAGTTTTCTTGAAGAACATCCAAAGCTAATGCAAAAGAGACATTGATTTTTTTTTGTGGGATGAGGTGCTCCAGCAGTATTTAAACCCATAAATCAATCTCTCAGTAGCACTCAATATCTTAAACCTGCACTTGGCCTGTGAGTTAAAGAGGTAGGGGCATCTATTTAATGCCAACTAGGCCACTCTTAATATATAGAGCTGGAACGGTGAAACATAAATTTAGTATTTTCAGGAAAAATAATGCAAGTGCATGAATCCCTCAAAGTTGCTGCTACAAAAAAACACAGAAAACAAACACAGTGGTAATCCATATGTCTCCCGTTGATGAATCTATGACTTCTGAAGCAAACCAATGCAGTGAACCATTAGGTGTGTATGTGAGAAAATAACTAAATAATTTTAAGTAGTATACCAGTGAGGATATTTGAACTGAAGTTTAAATAAATACTTCAAATATAATATTTAATTCAACATTTAATTGTATCTTGTTTAAGGATGTTTAGATACTGGAGAACAAGAAAGATACAGGTTTTTTATTTTTATTTATGCATTATTATTATTATTATTATTATTATTTTGCCATATAACAGCACAAGTGTATATAAACAAATCTATAAGTTGCTGGTTGATATATGCATTTGTATTTCTTCATTTCTAATGTACGGTACACACGGATTTACCATTAAAGGGTTAGTTCACCCAAAAATGAAAATTAGGCTGCGTTTTACTCACCCCCGATGCATCCTAGGTGTATATGACTTTCTTCTTTCAGACGAATCCAGTCGGAGTTATATTAAAAATTATCTTTGATCTTTCCAGCTCTATCGTTGCACTCAGCGGGTGTTGCATTGCTTCTGTCCAAAAGACGTGAAATAAAAAGCACCGTTCCATAAAAAAAAGTGTCTCACACGGCTCCGGGGGGTGAACAAAGGCCTCCTGTAGCGAATCGATGCGTTTTTGTAAGAAAAATATCTATATTCAAAACGTAAACATCACTTGAATCTAGCTTGCGCTCACTGTTGTAAACGGAAGCAGTTCTGGGGGAATTACGTATGAGGTCAGCTTTGCGCATGCGCCGCTCAGAAGTGACGCACGTGGAGAGAACTAAACAAAACAACGGTCACTAATTAGAAGTACAAAACGAGGATTTGTAAAGAAGAATGTCGGAGGATTTCGATATAAACTTGATCCTGTAAACAAACGTTGGTTTTCACGAGACTCACCGGCGCATGCGCAACGCAGACCTCATACGTCATGCTCCCGGAACTGCTTCTGTGTACAACTGCTGGCGCAAGCCAGATTAAAGTGATTATTACGTTTTGAATATGGATATTTGTCTTACAAAAACGCATCGATTCGGTACAGGAGGCCTTTGTTGATCCCCCGGAGCCATGTGAGACACTTTCTTTTATGGAAAGGTGCTTTTTATTTCACATCTTTTAGACAGAAGCAATGCAAAACCCGCTGAGTGCAACGATAGAGCTTGAAAGATCAAAGACAATTTTTTATATAACTCCGACTGGATTCGTCTGAAAGAAGAAAGTCATATACACCTAGGATGCATAGGGGCTGAGTAACATGCAGCCTAATTTTCATTTGTAGGTGAACTAACCCTTTAAGTTTCCTTTAACTTATTTCTGTCTCTCAGTTGCATCACAGAAACAGCATAAATTAAACGGGTCATATGACATTGCTAAAAAAGAACATTATGTTGTGTATTTGGTGTAATGCAATGTTTATGCAGTTTAAGGTTAAAAAAAGAATTTTCCACATACTGTACATTTTTGTTTCTCCTCTATGACCCGCCTTTCTGAAACGCGTCGATTTTTACAAAGTTCATCGTTCTGAAAAGCGAGGTGTACGCTGATTGGCCAGCTATCCAGTCCGTTGTGATTGGCTGAATACTTCAAGCGTGTGACGGAAATGTTACGACCCTTAACATACTGTGAGGCCGTCTCTTTTGAAATTACCCCCCCACATCTGAATTTCGTGGGGTGCATTCGCACGGGATAAGCGAAGCCTGTGATTTTACTCGAATTTACTGACTTACCTCCCGGATACCTGGATGTCAAGGCTTTGAGAGTCCCGTTCTATGGTCCAGATGGATTTAAAAAAAAAAAGAAACTAATATAGTTTCGTGCGCTGTGTCATTTACATTTCACCAGGTTAAAATAATATCTCAAGCTTTATGCTTGATTTATTTGTAATACATTAACCTCAAAACCTTTTCAGCTTTCTCTTTCTGCAAATTGTATGGTGTAGCGATATGATGACAACACCCAAAATATCAAACACTCCAACGCAGCTCCATTCTTCGCGGAAGATGGATAAAAAGGCGCACAGCAAACAAAAACCTTGAAAAATGATATGCGACCCGCCAAATGCTGGCCGAGTCACAGAGGTGCCGATTCGCACGGGACTAATATTATCACAGGACCTCGGTGTTCGGCGAAATATGGTAGGTCATTTGCGGGGGAATTTTTACTTTACAAATTACAGACATGGCCGATTCGCACGGGATTAAGATCACAGACAACCTCCGCAATTATTACAAATGACTAGAGGTCACCAGGTAATACTAATCCCGTGTGAATAGGGCTTTACAGTAGGATAAATACAGTGTTGGTAGCATAATCTGATAGGTAGCATGATTTGTCAGAACACCGGCACGGCGAGACAAAACCAATAAAACCCATTACAAACTAGGCGTTTGTTGCATCCAGTGGGGACATAATTACTGATTATAATGACTTATACTGTGTTTTTACGTGTTGCGTTGCGTATCGTGTAGCTAAACATAATACCATGTCTGCATTTGTGACCGGAGAAACGACAAACAACAAGCGCTACTCTACACTGCTTAAAACTCGCGTTTGAATCATCAGTGGCAAATTCTTTAAATATAAAAAATTTACTTACAGGCTGTGAATCAGAAGTGCCAGACTGTCCTTGCAAAGTTGGAACTGCCCCACTTTATAGAACAGCCTTTGTGCACAGACGCATTGTAGGCTACTCTGCAGGTTCAGGAAACAGTCCTCCATAAAATGTGTCACACAGCATCACACACTGTGGGCTTGAGTGAGCGGCGGCCGGCGGACTTGCAGCAACCACATGTGACGACCCCGGGCTGAACTCCGCTTCATCCACGGTGAAAGCCGATCCGGCGATCCACAGCGCGAAGTTGATGTATTTCCTCAGCAACCTCCCCGGATCAGCTCTAGACATGACGAAGCGGATATCGTCCTCTTTTGGAAGGCCAAACAAAGTAGTTTTGCTTTCACAACGTGAAACACACAGCATCTCCACAGCAATGGCGGCGGCGGCAACAACAATACTACAGTGAGAATAAAAGTTATGCCTTCTTTTTTGCGTGACCATTTGGGCGATGTTATGCAAATCTTCCCACATCATGACGTAGACATGTGGGGGCGTGTTAGAACGAGGCGTTTTAGGAGGGCGTGGACAAGTCTTAACTTTTATGAAGAATATCTCTTTGGATTTGAGACTTTAACACAGACGCAGGCAATTCACACACACACAAATATCACCCCTCTCTATCTCTCTCTCTCTCTCTCAAAATGGCCATATTTGAGGAAAAAAGTCAAGTAGTTTGCATGACTGGATCGGTCATTTAACATTTCTATCATAAAACAGTCTGAGGCACTGCAGGTAATAGGCTGTGGAGGGCTGGCTGCTCTGAGATGTGAGCTGAGGGGTAAAAAAGACACCTACCAAGAGAAAAATTCTGAGGAATAAAAGACTGACTTTTTTTCTTAGAATTGCAAGTATATATATCTCACAATTCTGACTTTGTAACTTGAAATTGCTTGTTATAAAGTCAGAATTGTGACATATATAAACTCGTAATTGAGAAAAAAGTCAGAATTGCACATTTATATCACGTAACACTCCAAAGAGAAAGGAAAAAATGAAATTGCATCAAATGATCCCTTTAAATATGTTACACAGTTTAGAGCCTTCATGCTACACTATCATTTTCTCTTATAGAGATTATTTTTGTCTTACCTCCCAGGTGTCTGTGGTTAACCAACTGGACATGCAGGTGGTCGTATCCAACGTGTCGCCCACTGTAGTTGAACAGAACAAGGATCAGCTGATTGGGTAACGTGTTCTATACAAACACACTCTTAACCCTTACATACTCCCCAACATAACGTTCCTGGCAGCCGCAGAGTGCTTGAAGTTGTAATGTATTTTAATGTCAACCCCTCTTAGATAGAGCAGGACCCACACTGTGTAACATCTGTGGCAAGAGCAGAATAACCAGAAACTCCACCTTCCTCTGTCAGCCATGGATAGCACTTATCCATTGCCTTTCTCTCAAATAAAATGTTTAAATAAATAGTTTACCAAAAATATGTCAAAATTTACTCACTTCATATTGTTACCTAAATTACGTTGTTGTTGTTTTTTTATTGAACATAAAATATGTTTTTCAGAATTTTGACACTTTGAAACTCTATAAAGACCTTTATATAAGGTATATATATATATATATATATATATATATTCATATACAATATTTTTTTTTCATTGTTTGTGGTATAATATTTGCGAACATCCCACCTATTACGTAATTGCCACAAACCAGTGTCAGTGTTATTTACTGAAAATCATAGCTGCAGCGCTCATATTTTGTGTTTGTGTACCAAATCAAATGTGCAATGTCTATGATGCTGAACATGGCTAAATTATCGTGTCAAAACTCGTCTATTGAATTTGTGCTAGTGCAAATGAGATTAGAGAGATTTTTTAGTAAATAAAATACAGTCGCACTTTAGTTTGGGGAGCAATTCTCACTATTAGCTAACTATTAACTATGACTCTTGCCTCAATAAACTCCTAATATACTGCGTATTAATAGTTACAGTAGTAAGGTAGTTGTTAAGTTTAGGTATGGGGCAGGATTAAGAGATTTGAATAATGGTTATGCAGAATAAGGCATTAATATGTGCTTCATAAGTAATAATATACAGACAATATGTTACAAACATGCATGGCCGTAACCATATATATGGACCAACTATATATATATATAATGCAGGTGTGCGTTAAAACTGTTTAATGCACAGATCGCACTGGGCACACACAGATAACTTCCTGTCAATGCTGCCTCGTGACTTTTATTAATAAATTAGCTTCAATACTGAATTGCTACATTATATTTTTCAGTAGGTAAAATCGTTGTTTTTGAAGTAACTAATCTCACAGCTTTATTGTTTTTAGAGAGAGACGCACAGACGCAGGCAATTCACACACACACAAATATCACCCCTCTCTATCTCTCTCTCTCTCTCTCAAAATGGCCATATTTGAGGAAAAAAGTCAAGTAGTTTGCATGACTGGATCGGTCGTTTAACATTTCTATCATAAAACAGTCTGAGGCACTGCAGGTAATAGGCTGTGGAGGGCTGGCTGCTCTGAGATGTGAGCTGAGGGGTAAAAAAGACACCTACCAAGAGAAAAATTCTGAGGAATAAAAGACTGACTTTTTTTCTTAGAATTGCAAGTATATATATCTCACAATTCTGACTTTGTAACTTGAAATTGCTTGTTATAAAGTCAGAATTGTGACATATATAAACTCGTAATTGAGAAAAAAGTCAGAATTGCACATTTATATCACACAATTCTAAGAAAAAAGTCAGGATTGCGAGAAAAAGGGTTTTTTTTTTTTTGGTGGTGGAAACATGCTTTCATAGTTTTGAGAATGGTCTCTGTGTGAAAATAACATTCAGTAGTTGTTTGAGCATTCCTTTTAGAAATAAAAAAGGTGAAAAATGGTGAATAGAACGTCTTCAGTATGTCAGAAAGTTCTGTTGCCGATCACTCATTTTCTGTCTCTTAATGCAGGATTTTAGAGCGCTATGTCCAGGACCAGATTCCAGGAGCCAAAGTTGTTGTGGAGTCGATCGGGCCGCGTCGTTTTGGCGAGGGTTATGAACAGGAGGACTACTCAAAATCTGACCTTATGGTTTATGCAATCGACCCTCTGACCAACAGAGCTCTCTCAAGACAGGAGCTCTTCAAGTGAGTGCTTTCTCTCATCCAACTTACCCTCACAAACTCCATTTCTGCAGTGCTCTTCTTTCTCTTAACCTCCTGACATTTCCCTCAAACCTAAGCAACTAACCGCTAGAGATCTATCTACCATTCATGCTGGGATATAGATGTCTTTTTCAGCTATACAGTGAATGGAAAGAACTGCTTTATATTATTTAAACGAGCAATGCAAAAATGCAGAGGATGTTGTTGGTGCTGTCACGTCACACTGTTGAGGAAGCACAGGAGGCACCAGTTAATGAAAACTGTCTTTAATAAAGGAAACTCAGGAGATAATCCACAATAGGCGCTTGAGCCAACACACGTAGAGAACGAGTAGACCTGACAAACACAAACTGAACAGACTAGGACTTTTATACAGGGGATGATTGGGGAACACAGGTGACATCAATGGAACATAATCAAACTAAACGAGGACATGAACATGACCAAATAAGGCAAAACAGGAACTGAAACACATGACAAAACGGGTCCAATCCTGACATTTTGCCCCCTCCCGGAAGGTGCGTCCTCACACCATAGGCAACAACGGGGAGGATGGGTGGGAACTAAGGAGGAGGATGGACACCCGTGAGGGGGCTGGCAGACAGAGACCAGGGAGGCAATGAAGGAGGGAGGAGCCAGGGAGGAGACAGGAGGAGTCCAGCTGGACCCAGGGCACAGCCATAATGACGGCCCACGGTGGAGCCGACAGAGGGAGGAGCCATGGAGAAGGAATGGCCGCCAATGGCGGCGGAGCAGGTGGTGGAGGAGCCCAAGGCGGAGATGGAGAGCCAACGAGCCAGGGGGATGCCGAGGATCCGGGTGGCCAGGGTGGAGCCGAGGGCTCTGGCGACCAAGGCTGGGGCAGAGATCTGGAGAACCGCGACGGAGCCGGAGCGACTGAGGACCAAGGTGGAGCTGGTGGGAGGAAGGAGCCCAATAGAGCCGGTGAGACAGAGCAACAAGTTGCAGCCGGAGGAGCGGAGTTCTGAGGCGATGGCGGGTCGACGCCCGACCAAGGCAGAGCCGGAGAGACGAGGGAGCCCAGTGGAGCTGGTGGATCGACGGGTGATGGTGGAGGTGAGGGAGCTAGGAGCCGCTGGGTCTACAGGCCGAGGCGGAGTCCAGGCCTCGGAGGCGGAGGTGAGGGATTCTCCAGCCATGGTGACGCTGGAGGATGGTAGACCCGCAGAGCTCGCACCGTATTGATGGTGGGCTGAGAGCGAGCAGAGGGGCTGCCAGATGACAGCGGTGGAGGAGGCAGGAGCGGGTGGAAGGGAGGGCGTTTGTGAGCCTTCGGGCATTCAGAGCTAAACACTTGATCGGGAGCCCCCTCTAAGCTGAACACGGGAACAGGATGGCACTCTGGAGGAGTGGGCACTTGAGGGCGCTTTCGAGGAGCGGGCACTGGAGGGAACTCTGGACTGAATTAGTGGACTGGAGCCCTCTCCTCTTCGGTTTGGCACATTCGCCGCGCAATACTCAGCTCACCCTCAGCCGAGGTGCAGGGGGCATAGCTTCTCTCCGCACTCACACCGTCCGCGGCTTTCACCCGCATGGTGGGTGTTGCAGCTGGCTCACGCACCTAGTCTGATGGCTTGGGCTCTACTTCCGGGGTGATCCTTCGCTCAGTCGCTCGGCATTGCGCTGGCTCGTAGATCGCAGCAGGAATTGGCTCTCCGTCAACGGTGGACTCGGGCTTTAGCTACGCACAGCAGGGAGATGGTGGGCTGGGCTCTGGGTCCGGAGTGGATCTGGCGAGATCATTCTCAGGAGTGACAGTGAGAGGAGACCCGTTTCTCGCCAGAATCTACTCCACAAACGTGCCAAAATCCTCTCGAGGACCATCTTCGGACGACTGCGCTCTGCAATCGATGTTTGGACTGGCGTCGTAGAACTGAACAGACTTGAACTTTTATACAGGGGATGATTGGGGAACACAGGTGACATCAATGGAACGTAATCAAACTAAATGAGGACAGGAACATGACCAAATAAGGCAAAACAGGAACTGAAATGCATGACAAAACAGGTCCAATCCTGACAGGTGCGTCAAGTGGATATGATTTGAAAAATCCAACACCAAGCAGAAAAAAAACTCCCCAAACTCTGTCCCAAAACTGTGTTTGTCATTGCTATAGATAGAAATATGAGTCACTTTTACCAGCAAAATTTTATGCATGTTGGATTTCTTGGCTTGTTTTCGGGCTAAACGCCAGCTTGCACTGATGTCTAATTTATTCAGTATTTGTTTTGTGTCCATGAGGTTCCACAATTAAAAAAATAAATAAGTAAATAATAAATAATATCAATTACCTTTCATTTGTAAAGTAGTTAATTCACTGAATGCCAAAAAAAGTTTAACTTGGTCATTCAGTGTATTTTTTATTTTACATTCTTTCCTTTCCATACACAATTATACACACAATTAGCATTGTATAACATTTCTCATAGCATTATTTAAGATACCACTCACCCCTAGCCATTAGTTAGTTTGTTATTCATAGTGTATTTTTTGTTTGCCCATTTTTCGCCCAAGCAGCACAATAAAGCTGATGAAGTGTATGTTTATGTTTGTTTAGATATTTTCTCATTTTTCATAAAAATGAGACTTGTGGTTAAATCCGTAGCCAGACTGTCTGTTTTGTCACAGTAATTAGCCTGCTCAGACAGCATGGTTTCTAATGCTTTTACAAGCAAATTGTGAATTGTAGGCTGTTGAATGTGCTTTCAAACTCTTTACTTCTAATATAGTCAACATTCAGTCTTTTTTTCCCCCCTTTATTTATATAGCGCTTTATACAGATTGTGTCAAAGCAGCATTACAGTGTTAAACAGAAAAAAAAGATGTGCTGATAATGCAAGAGGACAATAGAAAACAGTCAGTTCTTCAGTTAAAGTCAATTCATTGTTGATTCAGTGATGTCAAGTCAACAATGTTGCCAGAAATTGTGTCCCCAACTAAGCAAGCCAAAAGCGACAATGGCAAGGAACCAAAACTCCATCGGTGACAGAAAAGCAGAAAAAAACCTTGAGAGAAACCAGGCTCAGTCAGGGGGCTATTTCTCCTCTGGACAGACGATTCAGTCTTTTGTTTTATTTAACTGTCAGCAGGTTGAATGGTACTTAAAAATTGTGCTTTTATAGTAGCCAATGTCAATAAGATCAACACATTACATTTACATTATGCTAAAATGTCAGATGACCCATTTTACACTTTATTATAAAAGTTTGGCTCATGAATTGTAATTACATTCGCTCAGTTTTTCACCGATTGCCTGGAAGGTGAGATCTTTATTGCCAGATTTATGTGGCTTGCACTGCAGAACTAGTCGAATAGCATATGCAAGGCCACATATGTGACTGTTCCTGTGGTTTTTACAGGTTTTTAGATGGGAAGTTATTGGACATCAATAAGGAGTTCCAGCCCTATCTAGGTCGCGGAGGACGCGTTCTGGAGATCCGCACGCCAGATGTGGTGGAGAGCGTGAAGAAGGCGGTTCAGTCTGTTGGATACACCGAAGGAGCCCTGCTGGCCCTGGCCGTCATCATCATCATGTGCTGTATCCCAGCCATCCTCATCGTCATCATCACGTACCAACAGTGAGTGTCGCCACCATAGTCCAGTGTACCTTAAAGCTTATTTTTTAAGCTTTATATTATCAATATTTAGTAGTGTGCGATATTAATAAAAAAAAAATATATAGTTATTTTTGGGATTTTTCTGATCATGATAATTTGCGTGAGTGTGTTTTTGTGCAGGTACCTTGGCTGATTAAGACCTGTCATGGGTAAATAAATGTAACATTAAAACTGCCAGTAGGTGGCAGTGAATCCCTGTGTTAATGAGTGACTCATTGAATCAGTCATTCAAATGATTTGTTCAAAACAGCTGATTCATTTAGAAACAAAGCAATCACCTGTCTTTATGAATGGATCAATGAATTATTGACTAATTTTTTTTTTTTCCAAAACAGTGTTGCTTTGTGTCCTGCTCTGGCTTTGTTTGGAACTATTTTAGTGGGCAAAACAGAAAAAAACCAGACATAATTGTCTAAAATGTAAATCACTCAGTATTAACCTCTTGTTTGTTAAACTGTTGTATAAAATCAATACAACATTCGTGATCGCGCTCACACAGTGATATTTGGGAAGACAGCATTCTTGCTTGTGTGATATTGCTATATCATATCTTATAAATATAGAAAAACAAAAACCTATACAGGGATTTATATATATATATATATATATATATATATTATTTTTTTTTGCTACATACTCAATAATGTCAGCTGGCGCATTGTTAAACAACAATACCGATATTATCATAAACGATAAATATTGTAAATCCCTAATATTTAGCAAAATTAGCCATTAACCAATTCTTCTGTTGTGATTCTTTGCATAGTTAGTTTTTAACAAAAATGTTATGTCATAGTGTTTCTTTCATGCCCTGTGTGGGATGAGGTTGAATCAGTGGAAAGACTACTCAGACGGCAGATTTCTCCACTTAGCAACCAAATAAATATATGTAAAGTTCATGTTGAAACATCCTGTTAAGCAGGCAGCTTCCCTCCGCTGGGATTTCAGAGGAACATGCATTCTTTCTTTTCACATTGGTAACACCTGTCTTGTCTTGTGTTTATTCAGCATGAAAGATTATTAATTAAGGCCATGACAGGTAAATATGAGAAACTGTCTGTGGTTAAAGGCCAAGATTTACATGTGGTGCCAGCTAAGCCAGTACCATATAGCAAACGAGAAGATGAGAATTATATATATATATATAAATATATATATATATTGCTGTTATTGATTCTGTATTAAGTCCATGTTGTTATGAGTCGTCGTCTAATATACTTGTTTCTTTTCTTTTTACAATGCACCAACTTCAGATTCAAAGAGTAAGTATCGTATTGAGACATGCATGTGTAATGATATATTGGTTATATATCTCAACCATTTCCCTCTCTCAAGCATTATTTAATTCAGTGGTTCTCAGATGGTGTGGCTTCAAGGCCCAGATTTTACATTGGTTATCAAATAGCAACCCAACACTACTTAAATAGCTTGTCGTACAAAAGTGAATGATACAACAATGAAAATAGATAACAATAGTGATATTAACATTCAAAAATAATAATTTACTTGTTTTTTTATAGTTTGAGTATTTGATAAAAATCTCTTGAATTTTAATGGTTATGCTCTGAACAGCCAATAATTTACAGCACAAAATACATTGTCAGCACTAATGATGTCTTTCATCGTTGGTAGAATCTTCTTGTATTTTTTGTATACTTTTGTTTGTTTACCTGTCCATGTTGGCATATTCCGAAATATGACTATCTTCTATCAAGTGACAGATAAATTTGAGCCATTTGATTTGACATGCAACCATTGGCGTCAACAACAAAAAATATGAGAAGCAGTTTCCCCCTTTTAGAAATGCCTCGTTATTGTGCACTATGTGTAACTATGAAAAGATGATATGGTTACGTGGATTTCATTATTATTCCATTTTATTCATCGCATTGTTTCTCGCTGTCTGCGACCCACCAGTTGAGAACCCCTGATCTAATTTGTCCTGTTGATTTACCAGGACCAGAACAAAAGTGCTTAGAACATAACTTATGTAAAGAATAACTTTTGTTCCCTAAGCTGTCAGATCCCCCAAGGATATAAAGCTGATTCCAACATCCTTGTCAAATTGCACTTTGAAAGAATAGATCAAAACCGAGTTATTCAAAAGCATTAGAAGCGTTTCTTTAAGGACAGCATGCTATAAAATTACAAACTCAAACCACTTCACAGGCACTCATTACATAAACATAACCATCAAACTCTCAACTCTTACCTTAGTATGCTATATATAAAATAAAATATATGCAATTAAAATAAATTATATTTTTCAAAATTCAGTTTCAGTAAAATTTGGTTTTTGATCTATGAGTGCATTTATAATTTATGAATATTTCATAATATAAGATATTGCTTTTATTTTTGCTCCACTTGTTGACTTCATCATATAAAGACGACAGGCAGAGTGTGCAAAAGCAGCCAGGATCCAAATGGCGCTTCCTACTGGCAAATCCGGAGGTGCTGCCACCAACAATCTGTATGAAGAACTCGGCGACAGCACCATGTAAGTTTGATATATTCTGCACTTTATACTGTACTTGACATTGTCTTCAAGCACTGACTGATGCAGAATATTAATACGTATTGGGTTTTACAAGTTACAGTTACTTGAAGTAAAATTGCATAAGTTTATTAATGTCTGAACATGAATTAAGTCTACATTTCTAACCGCATTGGCATTTTTTCTTCTTTGTTTAAATCTTAAATCTAACAAAATTTAGTAAGTAGTATGACCACAGCAAGAATTGTGTGGACAATTAATTCTAAGTGGTTCTAGGTGTAGTATTTCTGTTAATAAGCAGATATGATTTAACCTAACCTGATTTTATTTTATTAAAAAATGTATTTGCTTAGCAAAATTAGGGCTTCTAGTCATGGTGTTAAAATTCCACCCAATGACAATAACCTCCTTTTGTGACAGTCCTTTCCATTTATTCTTGTACCTGTGTCAGGTTTTTTGACACATTAGGGGTAATGCAAAATTACAGGCCTTCCCTAAAAAGATTGCAAGTTTGATCCCTGGTTGAGGTGATTACCAAACTCTTTTGTGACAATACACAGCTTCCCGCCCTGTTCAGTGTCTCCATGGTCATCATTTCATAGCATGAAACATTTTTTGGAGTATCAAAAATCTACTATTATCAGGATTTAATCTAATGATCATCAAACCCGAACATCTAATCCACTATTTGTGAACCCCCATGACGTATAGTAGCCATGACAATTAACAAGTTGTTTGTTTAAATTTAAATTGCAACATTGCCAAGATACAAACTGAATTTCTATGTGGCTCGTATTCGTATTCAAATGTGTTACATCCCAATGGATTTGGTATATCAAAAAGTGTTTTGTTGTTATTTTTTGCAAACTGTTTTTACCCCAAAATTGTCACGATAGAAGACAATTTATCTTCTATGAATCTGCCAAATTTCATTACTTTTTACCATACAATTCTAGGGCCTTCCATATACTCCCAGTGGGGAGGAAGGATAAATAAATAAATAAATTCCTAGACAGCTTTGGTGCATGGTGCCTTATTAGTTTATGTTATTATTTCCACTGCAATTTTGATCTTATTATGATGATCATTACCAACAGGAATGTTTTTTTTTGGTTTTTTTTAATAAAATAAAATAAAATAATAGTGTCTGCCCTACTTCTATTGTCCTAATCATGACTGAACAGGCCAAGTTTTTCAACATTTAAGTTTAAATGTGGACAGTAATATGGACAAGTTTATTGTGCTAATGGTTGTGATTATACATCTTAATAAAAAAAAATCAAGTAAAGTTTTTCATTATTAGACCGCTTAGACTGATTTCTCTGGAATGGTTTATTTATTTATTACTTTATTACACTTATCTGCTTTTTTAACATATTGCCAATTTCACTCATATAATTTGTCTTTTCCTCCTGTCTCTCTTTCTCATTTCTTGGATATCAGATCTAAGTAAGTAGACAGTCAACTGTGTATCATCTAGTAGACAGCTACCCAAGTAATTTCAAGTAGTCAATATACTGTAAGTAAGGTATAGTTGCATTTGTGATGGATTATCAGATAGATGTTAAATATCCTTCCAATTGCCTAGCACTGTTATCAGTTACCTTGCTCTTGATCAGTATTGATATTAGCTTGGAACTGTGTTAGCAGCGCTCAGTGAAAGCTTCTCGTTTTGGGTGTTTGTCATGGATTTGGTTAGCTCTTTGTTCTTAGTACAGTAGTCAATCCAAGCAGGTGCTATTCGTAGTTGGCTTCCCTCCTACTTCCCTGTCGATCTTGCTTTTCACATCCTCTGTTAAGTCGATCTTTGTCTCTTTTTGCGGTTATGCTGAAAGCAGGACTAAGACGTGTGTTCTGAAGGACGGCGATCATCAGCGTCTCATTAGTTCATTTGCCTCCCGTGCCATCACTGCTCACAAGCTGTCCACTGCTAATGGAGTCCTGCTCAACAACTTGCCTAAGTCGGAAAGCAACATTACTTTTCTTTCTGACGAGAACCCTCTTACTACAACCAACCCTCTGTATCATGATGACGGCACCCTCAGCAGCCCTGAGCACCAAAATCAGAGGTATCACCTGGGCACATATTCACCCAATTTGAGAGGTCTGAGAAGGTCCATCCTGCGCTTCCCATCTGCAGGCTCAGGACACGCTTGGACTTTACCCTCTAGGTTACACAAGTGGGAGAACAATGATGCCCTACGGACTAGGAGGATGGTGATGGATCCAGATCAGTGGGAGCTGCAGCTGCTGAAGTCCGACCTTAAGGGCAGTAAGGAGATGATTGATGGGTTTGATGGGTTTGATGGGCTTGTGGACGAAGATCCAGAGCCCAAATTGACAGTAAAAGAGCAGGCACGGCAGTTTGAGCAGCAGGCCTTTCAGGACATGAGGCAGGGGCAAGGCCAGGACTCTCGTGGGTCACTCTCTTCTGAAATTATTCTCTCTGTTTTCGAGACGTCTTCAGTCATGGGATATAACAGCAGACCCCCAGCAATAATAATTACCCAGAGTGACGGAACACCTCCACCCAGTCACAAGCCCACCCCGCCAGTGCTGCGGAACTTCAGCAGAATGACTTCCTATCCTGATGTGGAGTCTTACGAGGTCAATGTGGAGATCATCCCAGACCCACCAGATGTACCTGCTCCACCACCCCCACCACCTCCTCATCCCTCCAGTCCCCCACCACCTTCACCTCCACCTCCTTCCAGTCCCCCACCCCAATCCATTCCTGTCCCTCCATCCCCACCACATCCTTCTCCATTTGTCCTTCCTCCTCTTCCCTCAGTCACATCCCTCCGACCAGTGTCCTTACGCCCCGCACCACCTCCACCACCGTCCGAGCCAGAGCCTCCCAAGAGGGAACTCAAAGGGATCCTTAAGAACATCCAGAACATAGCAGACATAGAGAAATCCATTGCCAACATGTACAGTCAAATAGATAAAAAGCAGCGCCCGCCAAATATTGTCCCCAAACCACAAGTGTCTGTTAAACCAGAGGCTGGTGTGTCAGAGGCGGAGCCTGTACAAGAAATACCATCACCAGAGCCCAATTCAAACATGAACTCACTAGTGGAGGAGCTGGAGAAACGCTTTCCTTCTCAGTCCACTATCCTGTGACACTCTCTTTGTCCATGTTGCTTTCAGAGGCAGTTCACACATGATGCATTCTAGCATTACAACATTTTGCCAGAGCGCAGCAGAACTAACAATAGACAAGGCATTCCTGTTGCTCAAACAGTAGAGAGCAGGGGTGTCAAACTCAATTCCTGGAGGGCCGGTTTTGTTCCAACCCTGCTCCAACACACATACCATGTCGTTTTTAAATAAACCTGAAGGACTTGATTAGTTGGATCAGGTGTGTTTAATTAGGGTTGAATCTAAACTCTGCAGGGCTCCGGCCCTCCAGGAATTGAGTTTGACACCCCTGCAGTAGAGTACGGTGATAGCAACACCAGCACAAGAATGTGTCCTGTGTGAACGGCCCCTTAGACTATCAATACATTTTTGTCATCTTTTTGTCTCATCATTGTGTTTCGTTTTACTGTGTAACAAAATCAAGTGTTTGTGCTTTTACAGTTTTGTATTTTTAATCAGTTTTGCAAGAGTGTTTTATTATTTAGTTGAGTTAAACCATTCATACAGGCATTTTATTTTATTCCTTCAAACTCTTTTAGTACACAAAACACTATTACTTACTCATAGAAATTCTCCTATTCATATGCCCTAATGTTGGGCTGTATGTTACAGTCACTGCATGGGATAAATGTCCTCTATAAATCTTTCCTCTGAGGTACAGTGCATGCGCTCACCTCTCATTTTTCGTTCTTTTCTTATTTCTCACTTTTTTGTTAATTGTGTTAGCACTGTCTACCAGTTTTCATCAATATCTGGCACAGGACATATTTTAATTCAAACTGAATTAAAAAATGGATACGTATCAAAATATCAGATCTGTGCATTAGGTCTCACAGCCTTTGTGACACTAGATGCATGAAGAGTGCCATGTAGCTCAAATACAGTCAAGCCATTGCCTTGATTTTACATGAAAGAGGGTTGTGAGGAAATACCTTTTTTAATGCATAAGGCAAAACGCTGCACATCAAAAAGTGTTGGTCTTCATTGTATGAACCCTGTATCACTACGATCAATTTCTTTTTTAAATACAGCTGTTATAGGTATTTTGTCTCTCAGTGAAAGCATTCACTTTGAACTGTTTGTGCTAGATGTGCAAATTGTCTGTGCTAGAAAGGACTAGAAAAGCACTGAAGAGAAACAAGTTTGTTCTAATGTTAAATGGCTCTATGGTACGTGACTGTGCACACTTTAGGGCGTTTGAGATGCAACTGAGTCGTCAAGTTGCTTGTAATTACCGGCTAAATCAATTTAGTGCAAGCGTGTTTGTGTGTGTGAGAGAGAGCTTGTCTGATTGGCAACATGTCCTCCATTTACTCTTTTAAACAGAAACACTGCATTCGATTCAGCGAATGTCCTCCTAATCTCGGCTTTAATTGTTATGATACTTATGGATGGATACTGCACCATTACATCTGATTATTGTCGACTCGCAGCAGTACACATCTATACCATATTGTTTTTGTGCTGTAGCTTATTCAAAAGTGTCTCAATGACCTTTTGAAAATTGATCATGTTCTGTTTCTGTAATGATTGCACCTTCTATTTACAGTGGGCAGCAGTGTATTAACATAACTCCGATATTATGGTTAGGCTTTGTTTTAAATTGTCCTTCCTCCTCTTCCCTCAGTCACATCCCTCCGACCAGTGTCCTTACGCCCCGCACCACCTCCACCACCGTCCGAGCCAGAGCCTCCCAAGAGGGAACTCAAAGGGATCCTTAAGAACATCCAGAACATAGCAGACATAGAGAAATCCATTGCCAACATGTACAGTCAAATAGATAAAAAGCAGCGCCCGCCAAATATTGTCCCCAAACCACAAGTGTCTGTTAAACCAGAGGCTGGTGTGTCAGAGGCGGAGCCTGTACAAGAAATACCATCACCAGAGCCCAATTCAAACATGAACTCACTAGTGGAGGAGCTGGAGAAACGCTTTCCTTCTCAGTCCACTATCCTGTGACACTCTCTTTGTCCATGTTGCTTTCAGAGGCAGTTCACACATGATGCATTCTAGCATTACAACATTTTGCCAGAGCGCAGCAGAACTAACAATAGACAAGGCATTCCTGTTGCTCAAACAGTAGAGAGCAGGGGTGTCAAACTCAATTCCTGGAGGGCCGGTTTTGTTCCAACCCTGCTCCAACACACATACCATGTCGTTTTTAAATAAACCTGAAGGACTTGATTAGTTGGATCAGGTGTGTTTAATTAGGGTTGAATCTAAACTCTGCAGGGCTCCGGCCCTCCAGGAATTGAGTTTGACACCCCTGCAGTAGAGTACGGTGATAGCAACACCAGCACAAGAATGTGTCCTGTGTGAACGGCCCCTTAGACTATCAATACATTTTTGTCATCTTTTTGTCTCATCATTGTGTTTCGTTTTACTGTGTAACAAAATCAAGTGTTTGTGCTTTTACAGTTTTGTATTTTTAATCAGTTTTGCAAGAGTGTTTTATTATTTAGTTGAGTTAAACCATTCATACAGGCATTTTATTTTATTCCTTCAAACTCTTTTAGTACACAAAACACTATTACTTACTCATAGAAATTCTCCTATTCATATGCCCTAATGTTGGGCTGTATGTTACAGTCACTGCATGGGATAAATGTCCTCTATAAATCTTTCCTCTGAGGTACAGTGCATGCGCTCACCTCTCATTTTTCGTTCTTTTCTTATTTCTCACTTTTTTGTTAATTGTGTTAGCACTGTCTACCAGTTTTCATCAATATCTGGCACAGGTCATATTTTAATTCAGACTGAATTAAAAAATGGATACGTATCAAAATATCAGATCTGTGCATTAGGTCTCACAGCTGTAGGGTAAACAGTGATAATTTAATAATTTAGCTCAAAGGGAATCATTTAAGATTTTAAAGGGAACTCCACCATTGATATGCAAGGGAATTAGGACAGAATCACTGTTTTACGGCGGATCACTGAGACGGCCAGCGAGTCAGTGAGCGAGCCGTATGACAGCAATTCTGCAATGGATATCAATATCCAAAATATAGTGAAAACACTATTAATTAGCATAGTAACAAGATCGGCAGTTTAAGACATTAACTTGTGAGCACAAAACACAAGATACTTCTCTTTTCCATATAAATAAGGCTTTATTGGATAAAACTCGGTTCTGACCAAATCTTAGATTGTCTGATTCGGTCTGATATCCTACACAGCCTTTGTGACACTAGATGCATGAAGAGTGCCATGTAGCTCAAATACAGTCAAGCCATTGCCTTGATTTTACATGAAAGAGGGTTGTGAGGAAATACCTTTTTTAATGCATAAGGCAAAACGCTGCACATCAAAAAGTGTTGGTCTTCATTGTATGAACCCTGTATCACTACGATCAATTTCTTTTTTAAATACAGCTGTTATAGGTATTTTGTCTCTCAGTGAAAGCATTCACTTTGAACTGTTTGTGCTAGATGTGCAAATTGTCTGTGCTAGAAAGGACTAGAAAAGCACTGAAGAGAAACAAGTTTGTTCTAATGTTAAATGGCTCTATGGTACGTGACTGTGCACACTTTAGGGCGTTTGAGATGCAACTGAGTCGTCAAGTTGCTTGTAATTACCGGCTAAATCAATTTAGTGCAAGCGTGTTTGTGTGTGTGAGAGAGAGCTTGTCTGATTGGCAACATGTCCTCCATTTACTCTTTTAAACAGAAACACTGCATTCGATTCAGCGAATGTCCTCCTAATCTCGGCTTTAATTGTTATGATACTTATGGATGGATACTGCACCATTACATCTGATTATTGTCGACTCGCAGCAGTACACATCTATACCATATTGTTTTTGTGCTGTAGCTTATTCAAAAGTGTCTCAATGACCTTTTGAAAATTGATCATGTTCTGTTTCTGTAATGATTGCACCTTCTA